ACAGGGACCTGTTCGTGCTAAATTGGTTGAGAAAGTTTACAGGTTCGGGAAACTACGGTCGAGCCCTTACTGCAAGAAGATTTTCTCCAAGACCATCTTGAAGAAGTGACTAAAAATTGTTGTTGTTGTTGTTGTTATTTTGTGTTTCAAAGATCGGATAGGGCTTTAGAGAAAACACTGCCCTTAATGTTTTTGTTGTCGGTCTCCCTTTTTGTAGTGACAACAACTTTTGTCAAACCAGAACTACTTGTTAGTCTGTGTTTTAGGCCAATGCTCTTTATATATATATAACTTAAGAGACCACACTGGTTCTCTCTCTTTCGCATTATTTGGGAACTCAAAACATACAACAACAACAACAACAACAACAAACAATGTTTTTGAAGAACGAAAATCAAATGATCAGAAACTCATCAAAGAGAAAGAGAGAGAGATGAGAGAAAACAGAAGCTATATAAGCTTATGTTTTTCTGCGGAGGATTGATTGATTAAGCATCATCTTCACCGAGAAGTGCGACAAGCATCTTCTCGTAATCTCCACGGGTGTCTTTAGTAATGGCTTTCTCCAAAGGAATGCTGTTCCTGCGCTGGTACTCCTCTCCAATGACCTTCAAGTCAATCTCAGCTCTTGTGGTCACAATTCTAGTGAGAGCTCCTTCATCGGTTCCAGTTTTGTTGATTGCTGAACGAAGAACATCAACAAAGTAAAGCTCTGGTCTTGTCAAGCACTGAATCGTTGACCTCAACAGTGCAAGAAACTTGTCATCATCATCGCCTTCCTCAAGACTCTTGAGAATTTCCTCGCCATGATCATCTTGGTAACGGTTAAAAGTAGCATTGATCTGTGCTTTGCTCCTTGTGGACAAGATCCTAATAACATCCTCATCGTTGTAGTGCTTGTCCTTTATTTTCTCATGGACCAGCTTAGCCTCTTGCTTAGCCAATGTCATGTTCACTTCATCTCCTTCGTACCTGTATGAGGTAACAAGAGAAACCAAAAGCTTTCTGAAGTCACCGGTAGTGTGGTGAGCGACGTCCTCTTCAAGAGACTTCTTGTAGCGAGCATGGTAAGCTTGCCTTGCGTGAAGAAGCTGCGTTGATGTCCTTGTGCAAGCTACTTCCATAAGCACTTGGTTGCTTGAAGTCCATCTTTTTGTAGCTTCATTAGCCAATAGAGCATCACGCTCACCGGGTTCAAGAGTCCACAACAAGATAGCTCTCTGTCCATGACCAAAAACCAATTAGGATACAATGACTTAACACAGATTTTAAAATTCCCCATACTTAAAAGTCCGAAACCGAACCTCGAAGTCGTTAGAGAGTTCCTTGTCAAGAGTCTTGAGAAGGTCTTCGCCGTAGGTTTCATGGTATGCTTGCCTGATCACCTTCCTCTGTTCAGCACTTCTGTGAGCCAAGATTGATATGATCAAGTCCTCGTTCGTACCCCATCCTGCGAAAAACACGAATCAGATTCACTTTACATAAGCATCAAAGTCACATACGTCAGATCCCAGAAGATCCATAATAACAAAACCGATGAAACCGATTCAAAGTATAAATCTCAAGATCTTATTAGTGTTGGATTACACATAACTACATTTTAGATCTACACTAAGAAGACAGATCTGTGACTGTGAGAATCAAAACACAACCAATCAAGATCTCTAGTAATCATTTTCATTATCAACATGATCAGACAATCAAAACTTCATTACTGATGATCAAATCACTATAAACACAAAAGATTGTTCTAGATCCCACAAAGAAAGGATATCATTGTCACTGATCCGATCCATGAAGGAACAAGCTCGATCTACATCATCATCATCATCATCATCATACAAATGATCATAAAACACTACCGACACAACATCCATAAGATCGGACCAAAACCAAGTTCGATCCACATAAAAAAAAAAGTCAAAACAGATGATCATACAATAACCCACCAAACCAAAACCAACAGATTCATCATTTTTACGAAAGGTTGATACTGATCATGTACACTAGAAGATAACAAAAACAGAGAACAAGAATCATGAAACTATACCTTCAAAAGCAGTTCTCAATTGCTCAGCATCATCAGAAGGAGCAGGAACAGAATCAGAAACCTTAAGAGTCGCCATTTTTCTTCTACTTAGTGGTGTGTATGTATGTTGAGAGTCGAAGCCGACACAAGATTGACTTATAAAGGGAAAGGCTAAGAGGTTTAGGACACGACGTGGCCTGTCCGTATATACCAAAATATCCCAAACGAATTATTAATTTCTCTGCCACGTGTTTGTTACACTTTATGAATTATTTGTATCCGCATTTGCTTAACTTAATGCGCAAATCATGATTTCACAGCAAACTATCGTAATCCCGCATTAACGGTTTGATTGGTTGTCACAAAATCATCAACAAGAACAAGATTATACGCGTTCGAATTTAATTTTTATAATCCATTTTGTATTATTTTAAGGCGTTATAAGAATGTGAAAAAGTTATTTATTTGTATTCTATTTATCACTTGCCAACGTGATGTCCATTAGAACTCATTACAAAAAGAAGGAAAAAGTTATTTATATCTTTATAAATAAATGTTCTACTATGCATAAGAAAATCTCCTACTACTTCTGGCCATATACATATAGACAGTATTATAAATATTAGAATATTTATTTTTTTAAAGAATATTAATTTAATTATATACAGTATTACTATATCTTTTACTAAATAAATAAAAAATTTTGAAAATTTCAGAGAAAGTTTGCCCAAAAGAAAAAGTTCAAAGACAATATTATAAATATTAGAATATTAATTTCAAACAATACCTTTTACTAAATAAATAACAAATTTTGAAAAGTTCAGAGATTCTTTCTTGTGAAAAAAAGATATAGGTAAATCAAGTGAGTTATTTTTGTCATTTAGTAAAAATCCACATTAGTCATAACTAAAGTTATAGTAGCGTAAATCAAATGTTTGTTTGGTCACAAAATGAATCTGTTTGGGCTAAAATTGTCACTCAGATTCGGATAAAATCATGTGGTTTTTATCTAGACGAATCATGTAGCATTTAATTTATTTCATTTTATAGTCTCTTGAACCAATTTTAAAAGTGTTTGGACATCATATAAAAGTTTGAACAATTTGATAGCTAAACACACATTTTACTTGTGTTTTCAAAAAGCTAGGTAACTTGTCTACGTTACTAGTATGAGAACACTTACCAATGAATGGTTTGATGGTCATGGTTGTTAGACTTTGTTAGGTTTAGCCACTTAACGTTTATCCTAGGCCTGGGCATTCGGGTACCCGTTCGGGTTCGGTTCTTTTTTTTTGGGTATCGGGTCTATTCGGATAGGGGGTCAAGACCCATTCGGGTATTCTAAAAATTCGGTTCGGGTTCGGTTCGGGTTCGGGTCGGTTCGGGTATTTTAATAAAAAAGCAAAATACCCGAAAATAACCAAAAATACCCGGAATATTTTCGGGTTCGGGTCGGGTTCGGGTTTTTAACTCATATATACCCAAATCTAACCGAAATACCCGATTTCTCGAAAATACATTGGTTACTCTTTACCCAAATATAACCAAAAATATCTAAAATACCTAATATATTCGGATTTATGATTGTAATTTTAGGTATTTCGGGTATTATAAATATAAAAATAACTAATATTTTTAGGTGTATATTTGTATTCGGGTATATTCGGGTACATTCGGGTATTGGATTCGGTTCGGGTTCGGTTCGGGTTTTTTTCGGGTAGGAGGTTAGGACCCATTCGGATATTTTTAAAAATCGGGTTCGGGTTCGGTTCGGGTATTGTTCGGGTTTTTCGGTTTGGGTATTCGGTTCCGGGTATTTTGCCCAGGCCTAGTTTATCCTCTTACTTCCTTAATGATAACTAGATTTTAACCCGCGGTGTACCGCGGGATGATTTATTTTTTAAAGTTAATATATATAAAATTTTATAAATTGTATCTCCTTATAAAATATTTATGTTTTATAGTTTATAATTATTATCAAGTAATAGTATATCACGAGTTCACGGAACAATAATAAACTGAGGATTTAACTCGCATTAAAGCGGCATGTTAATGATATTTTAAAATTTTATAAATATTGATTCAAACCCGTTCGCCATATAAATCCGTTCCAAAGTATATATAACCCGTCCCATAATTTCTTTACCCGTCTCGTTATTTGTTTTCTAAAAGAAGTGATTTTAAAATCTAATGATTTTCTATTATATATAAAGTTTATAAATTGTATCATTCTCTAAGACATTTATATTTTAATAAACTAAGGATTGAATCTGTATTAAAGCGACATGTTAATGATATTTTAAAATTTTATAAATATTGATTCAAACTCGTCCACCATATAGCCCATCCTGTAATTTCTTAACCCGTCCCGTAATTTGTTTTCTAATATTAGTAAATTTTAAAAATTTAACGATTATTTATTATAGATAAAATTTGTAAATTGTATCATTTTCAAAGACATTTATATTTTATAGTATACAATTGTTATTAAGTAACGTTATACCACGGGACAATTTTTAATTTTATACAATATTTTCTAAATGAGACTGATTTGATATGTCTAATATTAATGGTATTAAAAAAAAATTAAGGATTTAAATCTGTATTGAGGGCGACAGATTAGTGATATTTAATCTTTTTATTATTGTTGATTCAAAAACCCGTCCCGCCAAAAAAACTCATTTATTTTATTAATGTTGATCTTATTTATGATATGATTATGAATCATTGTTTAAATATTTTAATCGATGTAGAACGTTGAACATACATTTTCGTCAATTGGATAATATATGTCCGTTTTTAAAATTTCGAATCACAGTATATGCAGATTTTTTTTTTGATTTTTTTTATTACTTTATGTATTATATTATGATTCAAAACAGTTAAAAACAAATCAAACAAACATGATAGGAGAATCAAAATTTTAAATTTTAATCAAATCTTCTAAATATCTAAATTATTAAATATGGAATATCCGGTGCAATAAATGGGTTTTATTTAATCCGATCCAAGTGTTTTTTTGTGAAGGAATTTTTAAAACGGGTCGGGTATCTGATATATTCGGAAGCATTTTTACCCACCCGTCAATAAAGTGTTGCAAAAATAGTAGTATTAGATATTACAACCACACAACATATATATACTACATTTGATCTTAACGTAACTAATTCATAATTATCAAAGTTTACCAACACAAAATAACCCATTAACATTGGGCCTTAATGCAACATGGCCCAAAGTCTTTTTCTTCTTTCTTCTTCTTTCACCTTACGACTTCTCTTTCTTCTTCCCTTCTTTCCAAAAAAACGATTTTAATTTTTAACTACGGTTGCATTGATAAACACATTTATAATATATAAAAAAGTTTGTTATTTTCTTTACCTCGTCGAAGAAATTGATGAAGATGAGTTCTAAGAAAAAGCTGTAGAGATTGATAACATCGTTGGCCGAGATTGCGGATCTGCTTGTAAACACGATAAAGCCACTTCCACCATCTTTATGAGCTTCTCTCTATTCTGCCCCCGTGGTTCTAATATACGTTCATCGGAAATGCTTCTCAGGGACAGAGTTTCTCCCGGAGACGAAGACAAACTCGCAACCAAATCTCCCGGATGCTTCCCCATTATAACCTCGAGTATCAAAACCCCGAAGCTATACACATCGCATTTCTCCGTCACCTTCATCGTGTAAGCAAACTCTGTTGCGAAAATTTCAGAAACAGTCAATTTCAATTTCGAATTAATTTAGGGATTTTTTAATTTCATTGATTTAGATTTACCTGGAGCGACGTAGCCGTAGGTTCCAGCAACGGCGGACCAGTTTGATGAATCCGTCTTGAGAAGCTTCGCTGTGCCAAAATCAGAGATCTTAGCTGTGTAATCATTATCGAGAAGGATGTTGCCGCTGCTAATATCACGGTGGACGATCGGAGTTGATCGGTCATGGTGCATATACGATAACGCGTGAGCCACACCTTTCACGATGTTGATCCTCTTGGTCCAAGTGAGTCGCTTAGCTTCTTCTTCGTTGGCTAAGAGTTTGTTTAAACTTCCTTTTTCCATGTACTCGTAGATCAGAAACGTGTGGCGGCGGTGGGAGCAGAAGCCGAAGAGCTTCACCACGTTGCGGTGACGGATCTCTGTTAACGCTCTTACTTCGTTTAGGAACTCTTGCTTCACCACTGGCTTTGATATCTCTTCGTCTATTGTATCATGTAGCCTTTTCACGGCTACGATCGCATCTGGGAGGTTTGCTTTGTAGACTTTGCTGTATCCTCCGCTTCCGATGAGGTATCTTTGATCGAATTCGTTTGTTGATTCGATGATATCTTGGTATTTGAATTTGCCATCAACGCTGAATATGGACATATTCTCTCCAGTTTCAGAATCTGTGTTTCTTCCATTGTGTGGTTTTCGTTTCCGAATGTAGTAGGTAAATGCGCCTGCACATATAGAGAGAATGACGAGTGCTCCTAGGATTGGCACTAGTATCCACACAAGAAGGTTGCCGTTCTTCTTCGGCTTTTGGAACCCACCAGAAGTGATAGGGCATGATTTCAACCTTTGTTTAGGAATATTACTGCATAAGCCTCTGTTTCCCTCCAATGCATCTGATGTTGCGTTTTGAAACGCTGGATTGTCTGGAAGCGGACCCTCGAGTTTATTATTTGATATATCGATGAACGTCAGCGCTTTCATGCTCTCGAAAGTTGTTGGAATGAAACCTGAGAGATTGTTGTGTGAGAGGTTGAGCTTGTCGAGGCTCTGCAAGGAGCTGAGCTGTGATGGGATTTCTCCGTCGAGCTGGTTGTGGCTGAGATCAAGATGCGTTAACTGAGTCAGCTTTGTTAGTCCGGGAATGCGTCCATCGAAATTGTTTTTGCTCAGGTTCATTTCATGAAGCTTTAAAAAGGAGTCGAAGGTTTGTGGGATCTGGGAGCTGAATCTGTTTGAGGATAAGTCAAGAGACTCAAGATTGGTTAAGAAACTTAAACCCGTAGGAACTCTTCCAGATAACTTATTCCCATTCAGTAGTAGCTTCGACAAACCCGTGAGATTTCCAATTGCTTCTGGAAGCTCACCAGTGAGGTTGTTGGTAGACAGATCTAGCTCGCCCAGTTGTTTCATGTTCCAAATCTCTGGTGGAATAGCACCTGTGATGTTGTTGTTTGACATGATCAAGGCACCTAGCTTTGGACTCTTCTGCCAGTTGCTTGAAATTTCACCGTTGAATTTATTATGGCTGAGATCAATGAAATCAAGATCTGGGTAAACCCCAAATGCTTCAGAAATATTTCCAATGAATTTGTTCCCTACAAATTTTGCTCTGATCAGGCTCTTGCAATCTCTCAAGCTTTTCGGGATATGACCTTCGAGGTGATTATAATCTAATGAAAAATTCTGAAGCTTGCCACCTTTGCAAATGTTTTCAGGCAAGAAACCGGTGAAATTGTTTATGTCGAGTAGCAATTCAGTTAGCTCTGAAGAGTTTGCCACTCCTCGCGGGATCGTACCAGAGAGGTGGTTATCACGGAGGTACAAACTTTCCAGCTTGGTAAAGTTACCAAAAGAAGAAGGAATTGAACCAGTAAGATTGTTCTGACTTAACTCTAAATCAATCATGGATTCCATGTTGCCTAGTTCTGGGGGAATGACACCAGTTATATAATTCTGATGAAGATAAAGAACAGTCAAGTTCTTGAGATTTAGGAGCGACGGTGAATGCGGTTCGAGACGTCGACGCAGTGGAAGGAGAAAGAAATCCAGACACAGGTTTAGCCAAATTAAGTGAAGGTTTAGAGAGAGAACACAGGATAGTACTCGAACGGCGTGAAGTGACATTGCAATGAGCAGAGAAAGTAGAGCAGAGAAAGTAGAGCAAAGTTCTTTTCTTCTTTATTCTTCTTTCACCTTACGACTTCTCTTTCTTCTTCCCTTCTTTCCAAAAAAACGATTTTAATTTTTAACTACGGTTGCATTGATAAACACATTTATAATATATAAAAAAGTTTGTTATTTTCTTTACCTCGTCGAAGAAATTGATGAAGATGAGTTCTAAGAAAAAGCTGTAGAGATTGATAACATCGTTGGCCGAGATTGCGGATCTGCTTGTAAACACGATAAAGCCACTTCCACCATCTTTATGAGCTTCTCTCTATTCTGCCCCCGTGGTTCTAATATACGTTCATCGGAAATGCTTCTCAGGGACAGAGTTTCTCCCGGAGACGAAGACAAACTCGCAACCAAATCTCCCGGATGCTTCCCCATTATAACCTCGAGTATCAAAACCCCGAAGCTATACACATCGCATTTCTCCGTCACCTTCATCGTGTAAGCAAACTCTGTTGCGAAAATTTCAGAAACAGTCAATTTCAATTTCGAATTAATTTAGGGATTTTTTAATTTCATTGATTTAGATTTACCTGGAGCGACGTAGCCGTAGGTTCCAGCAACGGCGGACCAGTTTGATGAATCCGTCTTGAGAAGCTTCGCTGTGCCAAAATCAGAGATCTTAGCTGTGTAATCATTATCGAGAAGGATGTTGCCGCTGCTAATATCACGGTGGACGATCGGAGTTGATCGGTCATGGTGCATATACGATAACGCGTGAGCCACACCTTTCACGATGTTGATCCTCTTGGTCCAAGTGAGTCGCTTAGCTTCTTCTTCGTTGGCTAAGAGTTTGTTTAAACTTCCTTTTTCCATGTACTCGTAGATCAGAAACGTGTGGCGGCGGTGGGAGCAGAAGCCGAAGAGCTTCACCACGTTGCGGTGACGGATCTCTGTTAACGCTCTTACTTCGTTTAGGAACTCTTGCTTCACCACTGGCTTTGATATCTCTTCGTCTATTGTATCATGTAGCCTTTTCACGGCTACGATCGCATCTGGGAGGTTTGCTTTGTAGACTTTGCTGTATCCTCCGCTTCCGATGAGGTATCTTTGATCGAATTCGTTTGTTGATTCGATGATATCTTGGTATTTGAATTTGCCATCAACGCTGAATATGGACATATTCTCTCCAGTTTCAGAATCTGTGTTTCTTCCATTGTGTGGTTTTCGTTTCCGAATGTAGTAGGTAAATGCGCCTGCACATATAGAGAGAATGACGAGTGCTCCTAGGATTGGCACTAGTATCCACACAAGAAGGTTGCCGTTCTTCTTCGGCTTTTGGAACCCACCAGAAGTGATAGGGCATGATTTCAACCTTTGTTTAGGAATATTACTGCATAAGCCTCTGTTTCCCTCCAATGCATCTGATGTTGCGTTTTGAAACGCTGGATTGTCTGGAAGCGGACCCTCGAGTTTATTATTTGATATATCGATGAACGTCAGCGCTTTCATGCTCTCGAAAGTTGTTGGAATGAAACCTGAGAGATTGTTGTGTGAGAGGTTGAGCTTGTCGAGGCTCTGCAAGGAGCTGAGCTGTGATGGGATTTCTCCGTCGAGCTGGTTGTGGCTGAGATCAAGATGCGTTAACTGAGTCAGCTTTGTTAGTCCGGGAATGCGTCCATCGAAATTGTTTCTGCTCAGGTTCATTTCATGAAGCTTTAAAAAGGAATCGAAGGTTTGTGGGATCTGGGAGCTGAATCTGTTTGAGGATAAGTCAAGAGACTCAAGATTGGTTAAAAAACTTATTCCTGCAGGAACTCTTCCAGATAACTGATTCCCATTAAGTCTGAGCCTCGACAAATTCGTGAGATTTCCAATTGCTTCTGGAAGTTCACCAGATAGGTTGTTGGCAGATAGATCTAGCTCGCCCAGTTGTTTCATGTTCCAAATCTCAGGTGGGATAGCACCCGTGATGTTGTTGTTTGACATGATCAAGGCACCTAGCTTTGGGCTCTTCTGCCAGTTGCTTGAAATTTCACCGTTGAATTTATTGTGGCTGAGATCAATGAAATTAAGATCTGGGTAAACCCCAAATGCTTCAGAAATATTTCCAACGAATTTGTTCCCTACAAATTTTGCTCTGATCAGGCTCTTGCAATCTCTCAAGCTTTTCGGGATAGGACCTTTGAGGTGATTATCATATAAAGCGATAAACTGAAGCTTGCCACCTTTGCAAATGTTCTTAGGCAAGAAACCGCTGAAGTTGTTTATGGCGAGTTGCAATTCAGTTAGCTCTGAAGAGTTTGCTACTCCCGGCGGGATCGCACCAGAGAGGTGGTTATAACTGAGATACAAACTTTTCAGCTTGGTAAAGTTACCAAAGGAAGAAGGAATTGAACCTGTAAGATTGTTCTGACTTAACTCTAAATCAATCATGGATTCCATGTTGCCTAGTTCTGGGGGAATGACACCAGTTATATAATTCTGATGAAGATAAAGAACAGTCAAGTTCTTGAGATTTCCTAAGGAAGAAGGAATTGAACCGGTAAGTTTGTTCTCACTTAAAGCTAAACTGATCATGGATTCCATGTTGCCTAGTTCCGGGGGAATGACACCAGTAAGATAATTGTGATGAAGATAAAGAACCGTCAAGTTCTTGAGATTTCCTAAGGAAGAAGGAATTGAACCGGTAAGTTTGTTATGACTTAACTCTAAATCAATCATGTATTCCATGTTGCCTAGATCCGGGGGAATGACACCAGTTAGATAGTTCTTATAAAGATAAAGAACCGTCAAGTTCTTGAGTTTCCCTATGGAAGAAGGAATTGAACCGGCAAGTTTGTTATTAGAAAGAGAGAGGCCTTTGAGGTTTTGCAAATTGCCAAGCTCAGGTGGGATTTCTCTAGTTAAGTGGTTTGTGGAGAGGTCAAAGTAGATGAGTTTAAAGAGGTTTCCGAATTGAGGAGGGATGGTTCCAGAGAAACGGTTCATGCTAAAATCAATGTAAGCAAGGTTTGGGAGAGAAGAGAAGGGGAAATCTTGGAAAGTACCTTCTATAGCGTTGCCAGTGAGGTTTAACTTTTTGATACTCCCTCGTGAGTTGCAGGAAACACCATACCAACTTGTGCATGAGAAGCTAGTATTGGTGTTTGCATCATTGACCCATGAAGACAGCTTTGATGAGCGTTTCTGGTTCGTGAAAGTGGATTTCCATTTCAGAAGAGCATTTGCTTCCGCGATAGTTGCAGAAGCTGAAATAGAACAGCTCAAAATTATTGATATGAACAAAAGAAAAAGAAGATCATTAGGATTATTCTCTGCAAAACCCATCCTCACTTACTCTCACTCTCTCTCTCTTCTCTTTCTCTCTTGGTGTTAGAGAAAGCTATCCAAGTTCTGGCTATTTAATAATCTCTCATGTGCACTCAGTGATTGACTTGGAGTCGTCTCCTTGATAATGAAGGTATAGAAAAGTGGGTTCGAATTACTATTTTACTTTGTGAAATTACGAAATCAGGTATAAAAAAGTGCTTACGGGTTCTTCGTTGAACATTCTGTTGAGTGAATGAATATTGGTCATTGTGTTTTGGAAGATAATATTGGCCAAGAAGACTTGCGAGTCAGTGACGACCGGGTAGTGGTAATTTATTCATCATTAACTATTACTTCTTTTTTTTTTTTTCCCACAATTCGCTTGACTTTTGTTTCACGGAAGAAAAACAATCTAATGTAGTCGTATTCAAAAGTTTTTTTTTTCTTAGCATACGTTTTCTTATAGTCTTCCTCTTTTGTAACAATCTTCAATTTTTTTTTTTAAGGATTTTAATAGCTCAAATTGTGTAGGTTTTTTAATTTTATAGGTAGAATGATAATGGTGTTTAGGGGTATTATTCAATCATGTAATAAAACTTAAATTTATGCACAATCGGTTATTATTCAGTTATTTATTATAAATTATGCATTAAAATCTCATGTTCTTTATTATGATAATTGTAATTTGTAAATCATGCTTTACATTTTTTAAAAGTTTTGGTGTTATTCGATTAAATTTTTAAAAATTTCATATTGTTACAAAAGTCATAAAAACAAACGTCAACAATATCAAGCGTCAACAATAGAAGCTTACACGTAAAAAATTTTACGAGTAAAATATAATTTGTGTGGAGCCCAAATTACTTCAATTACAAGAGAAGTAATAAACATATCTCTCTCGTCTCTTTATTTTTCAGTATCCGATCATTCAGTGAGTATAAAATTTCTCTCTTATTTATTATTTATATTCACTATAAAATAAAGTAATTATTTATAACATGTTATTGGCACAATTACTCTATCATCGCCGAAAAAAAAACTGTATTATACCGGACAGTATGTCGCCTAGTGAAAAGAAAAAAAATGAGAAAAAAAGAAAAAAAGTAAAAGAGAAAAATACTTCGACGGGTCAAGAAAAGGAAAACTCTAAATATTACTGTGGCTGATTATATATTTTGGATTGCTTACGTCAAAATACATTTACTATCTCTTGGCTCAATGAAAAGCATAAAAGAGAAAAAATACCCAAAGTGATGGATTATAATTCCGCTATGATGGAAATTGTGGTTAAACTAAAATATTATGGTGATATTATCACCGATTCTCAAATGTTTGAGAAAACATATGCCGCATTTCATGAAAACCAAATTACCCAGCGAGTACTATATATGTCGTGCGAGTACACCAAATTCTTGAATTTGTTTGTGGCACTTCTAATAGCGGAAAAGATTAATTTGACCGCTCATCGGATAATTAAAATGCTTGTAGTGACTACTAGTCTCCGATAATGTTATTATATAAGTATTATGTATTTCAGTTGTTTTAAAATAATGTTGTTTCTTTTTTTGTTTTGTGCACCAAAATCTTATATCAAACTAGAAGGATACAAGAGGATTAGGCATATTCGGACAGACCCGAATAGCAAACTTGGAAGATAAAGTACAAACGCAGACATAAATTAAACATAGAGACACAAGCTCGATGGAGATTGATAGGGTACCAGGAG